TGGAGACGTTTCTGTCTTAAGAGTGTCACTAACAATTATAGCTCGATCAAGACTTTTCATCCCCACATTATATTTATTTATTGTTATTATATTTTTTACTGTCGCATTTTTTGCATACAGCGCAAAATTTTTCTTCGAGAATTTCATGTATTCGTGAGCGTTGCAACTTCGGATCATGATTGACATGAGTACTCCTCCTCCCTTTGCCGCGTTTTCCTCACAATGGATGAGACACGGAGCACTTTTAAGAAATCAGTAACTTAGGCTCAAGAGAAGGAAATGAATAACACAGTGGTCTTAAACATCACACACTCATAATGGCTGTTTTTCGCAGTCAATCGGCTTCTGATTAGTTGTAGTCTCGATCTGTCGAAAATTGCTCGACCTACAGCTGTAGTCACAGTTTATGACTGCTAGGAATAACAGTAGGATGCACTTACCTTTTTTTTTGCAAGTCACTTTCCAAATGTGAGTATACCTTTGGTATCACGATCACTGTGCTGAAAATTTCTCAAAACAATGATAACAGAGGATGCCATCTTGAATTTTATTCCCACCCGGGTATCGGGAACTGGTTTCAGTGCTTCCCAGTTTACCCTGGTCTCAATTTAAGTTCCGGTTCCGGTTCCGTTTCCGTTTCCGGCTCCGGTTCCGGATTCCGGCTTTTCCATACGCCCGTAGAGTAAATTTATGTACACCCCCACAATGTTTATAGGTTTTAGTGGGAGAAAAGATAAAAAATCAATCCTACCTCATTAACTGAATGAAAAATCCACATTGTTCACAGCGACTCTGCTAGCAATCGAGGAAACCTAAAAGTATTGCAAAGAATTGCACCTCTCCAAGTCGTAATCGATGCGTTATTCATCTTTGAAGATCCGAAGAATTTTTCCATGAGGACAGTATGGCGGAATACTCAAAACAGTAAAACCAGCTTTCGATGAATGCCTCCCGGTTCGCGCCGTAACGTAAACTGAAATTTGTTCACTGCGATTTTGATTCTATTGAAGCCAAGCTTTAAGAAACGCTACAGGACAGCTCTCCGCAATCCGTTGCTGATACGTTTTCTTGTGGTCTAAAACAAGCCAAAATAGACCAAGCCATCCTCGGCTTAACCTCAAGATCTTCACTGTGCCATACCTTGGCTAAAATTAATCCAAATTTCCCCCAAAACCACTCGTTCAAAAGCTTGTTTCAAGGACAGTTTGTTGCCGCTATTTTTATGGGCAATACTTTCAGTCAGCGGCTTCAGTTGGACCACAAACAACTCTGAATTCCTCTACTCAAAGTGTCCTAAACCTATGAGCCCGAAAACACGCAAAAATCGGTCAGCGGAGGTATCCATTGCGTGACAGATCGAATGTAACCTCTGGGTAAGTCTCACCAAATTCAATGTCCGAGATTTCTAGCCACTTAAGGTTTTTCCCCGCGGGGGGGAGGGGCGGTTGCACCCGATAAGCTCGTAAATCACATTAGCGAAGGAAAAGGAAAGGGGAAGAGGAATGAGCGTGGCCCGGGGGTTATTTGGGTTAATTTTTGCTGGGTATGTACCGCTGGCCTCTCAGAACCCTACCCCATTCTATAGTCTATTCTGTGGCCAAATATAGACCCCATCTTAGTCACTTTATAATTTTCGCTATCCCAACTTAGTAACTTTCTGTTTACGTATCTACCTACACATTGGTTAAACTTAATGCTGTAAAAATCTCCCCAATTTTAAATCCCTACCAACCTGAATTTTCTGATTCCCCAATATATCGAAAAAGTGCGATCCCATTCTAGTAACTCTAATGAAAATGTAACCCCATTATAGTCAATCCAGCGGCACATCCCCATTAACCTATTACTAGGAAGTATTCCCGCCCGGGATCCCCCCTCCCCCTGAGCGAGGATGAAGAAAGCAGGAGAAAAGAAAAAGCCGTGATGATATCACTCTTAGTTTTTGTATTTGCTACTTTGAAGCTTTTGGCCGAAAAGAGGTATATTTAGCAGAAACTTTTTCAAAATTTGGCTAGATATATATCGCACGCTTTCTCACCATGATTTCTTTATTTTTGAACAATTTTGATTTGATGGCGTGAAAGTGAAAACCAGTACTTGTTATAGTAGGTCAAGGAATTTCCGGTTGAAGGTCAAGCGATGAATGACAGTGCTTTCTCAGAAAAGGGAAGTTTCCCTTTTAGCTGTGCTGCTTGTACCAGTCGTCGGCAGCTAAAACTGCTCCGCGTATTCAACTCAGGAGTATCGTGAGGTTTGTCATTTCATAAACCTAAGAAGAGAGTGTGACAGCTGCTTACTAGTTTCTTGGTTTACGTCAGGATCAATCAAGCGTTTTGGTGTCTTTGGTAGGTAATACAGTTAATTGATTTTTCCGCTAGCAGATGTCTCTCGGGGTAATGGACTCTGAGAGACTTTCCTGTCATTTCTGATTATCTCAACATGAGAGACCTCTTTGTTGATTCACGTTTCCACGTTTAGATCATCAGTTATTAGGAATTTTCTCTTCCTTTGCTGCCTACACCCTATCCTATGTTGTTTCGGTTTGTTCAAGAAGTGGAAGGGTGACTGGTAAATAATGGAGCAAATTAAGAACATTCGAAGAATCATTACTCGACCAAAGATCAAATGATTTTGGTGTAGATTCAGCTTCCTTTGATATCTGATGGTCCTGATAGCAAGCCATTAAAGTTATAAGAAACCTGACTATAATTTCTTTGATTCTTCGGGTCCATACATGTCACTTTAGCGCGTGAAACTTTCGTTTGAAATCCGTTTAGTTGTTTATCCTGGCGAGCAGGTTCTAAAAAACAGGGCTGCTATGACATCATCCAGCGCTCCCGCCTAGGAGACAAGGGAGAGAGAGACGGTGGGGTTACTTGGCGGAAGGTCCTCGAAAAGAACACCGTTTACATGTTTCCCACAACCAAATACGCGAGAAAAACATTTAATTTTGTTAATATTCGCTGGATCGGATGGTATACCAAGTGAGGACGGCCATTTATTGGGGTCGTAAAATATGATGGCGTGATCAATGGCGGAACAGTGACCCCTCATGCATCTTTCAACTTTGTCGTAGCCCCTGGTCGTAGCCTCATCACTGTCATGCTCGAAGAGGTCCCTGGTGTGAATGTACGTACTGTCTACCAATCAGACGCAAAACCAGGGTCTGGAAAGGCATTGTCGGGATCCGGGAATTGACCGAAAAACAGTCGTGCGGGATTCGGAAAAACGCAAAATATACGGGATTTGACCGCTACTCGGGAAGCAAGATTCACCAAAATCTTGGCACGGGATGCGATACTAGGGAAGAAAACGATTTTCGGGATGGAGATGACAGAAGTTCGGGATGTGGGAATCCCGCGGTATTGTCGTAGAAAAGAGCGGGAGTGCGGTATGAGGACCCTCTTTCCAGACCCTGAAAAACATGGCTCTCAAAAGTGCAAGGGGAGGATCAGGGGCACCCAACGACCGCTTTCTGTAAAATATCTGTTCGAGCGGAAGCAAATATTGCCTAGAATTTTCTATTACTTGAGGGCGTCAAAAAAATTTCCAGATGACTGTTCCATTCATGTACAATTTTCGAAGCTTATGTAATAAATTCCTTACGATTTTCTGAAGTTTTATTCTTCACATTTTACTCCTCAGGTTAGGCTATTTTTTGTACTGCAGTAAAAAGGAAGGTTAAAATTTTCGGATTCAAAAATGCGATAGAGAGAGGGATTGGAAAAATTCTCACTTTCGTAAAACGTTAAATAGTATCTAAACTTTTCGGAAAAATAATACTGGAGCCCTGATAATTTCGAACACACTCAAATGCCCTAGGATGACCAAACAGATACAAATTTCAAAGCGCTGCTTAGAATGTATTTCTTGAGATCTAAAAGTACTATAGCTAGCCTAAAAAGTGTTTTCAATGTATGTAGAGGGGGCCGTCGATGAGTGCAAGAATCTGGAGGATCGGCTTTATCAGCTGACGTAATAATTATCAACTGGCAGGCTAGGAAAGGTCATGAGAGGTTACCATGGCGAGAAATTCAATCGAAGCTTCAAAAACAAGTGATATTACAACTGATAAGGATACATTGCAGTTTGATGATGACACTTTGAGAGGTAATGATTAACGTTCTTTTCATTGTGCTTTGCTTTCCATAATATCAGGGCGCGGGCAGGAAGGGAAATCGTACTAGGTCAGTCTATAGGCGGCTAACTATTGCAGATACCGTCATCTTCTTAGATGTGTGGTCGTATGTTGCCCGAGGCTACTCAGGAACGTTTTATACGGGAGAGGCTCCCCCCGAGGTCCACCCCCTTACCCTTTAGTTAAAATTTTTGGCAGAAGAGGTACACCTTTTGTGTACCTTTTTATTGAAAATTGGTGCCTACCAACAGTAAGCCTTCTTCCCATTTTATGTAGAGTTTTACAAAGTAAATTTATACAACCATATGGTGTAATACCTAAATGACAAATTTCGCTACCCTTTTATATACTTCAACTCGAGAAATTAAATATTTAGCCTTTTATGATCTTCTATATGTCCGACGGCTAAAAAAGATAAGGGCAGGGGCCTCTCTCTAGGCCTTCATAGAGTAGGCCTGTCCCGATTGAGCTCGGCAAGTTTTGAGCAACTTTTGCCGTTGGTGGCAACTTTTTGCGGTCCAAGCAGCTTCGAGCAACTTTTGCGGCCTTTCTGTCTTGAGCACTTTTTGAGCAAAATTACACAGAAAACTTCAGGTTATGCGAATTTCTTGAGTGTTTGTCAACCGAAATGTAAGGTTAAAAGGAAAAAAGGTAGTGCACATTTCGATAAATTATAGCCAGAAGGATAATTCTTAGCCAACGTCCTAGAATTTATAATTGTTTTCGTATGAACAATTACTTACTAGATAAGTAGTATAATGTTGTTCAGGGCTCTCATAGTGTCCTCATAATGACCTTGGAATACTTGTGGTTTCGCCACATTTGTGATATAAATCCTTAAATCCCATGGCTGGGACCGATCATGAAGGAAGGCAGACGTGCGATTCTGAGCTCGCGAGTTATTGGACTTGTACTTATTTTGTGTCTTGTTCATACCTTGAGGAAAGATAAACAAGATTATTCTTTTACCAGCGAGTACTTTGGTCTATGTTTCCCGCATTCCTCGTCGGTTAAAGAGGTAAACTGGGATACGAGACACTGTACAAAATGGCGGACACACGTGCATGTCATTATCAGTATGAGAGTGAAACGAGCAAGCGCTACTACAGCCTACTACGCCAACTCAACCTCTACCTTTAGACCTGTTATACAACTGCTACATGACGTGGAACTTAACCCTGGACCTGCAAACTGCTCTAGTGGAGACAAGTCAGAAAAGTCAAATGGCAATGTTAAAATCGCACATCTTAATGTTCGCTCGCTCAAATGCCGTGAGCATTTCGTTCTTGTAAAGAATGCGGTACTGGAAAATAAGTTTGATATATTTACCGTATCCGAAACATGGCTCAACAGTTCAGTTACGGATTTGGAGATAGAAATCCCTGGCTATGTTATCTACCGAATCGACCGACAGGCGAGGGTTGGCGGTGGAGTATGTGCTTATGTCTCACGAAATTACAGGACGGACTACTTGAGTGACATTTCTCTTATCACGGCCTCTGGCTTCCATCAACTGTGGCTAAAAATCCACGTCAGAAACATGAAGTCCTTCCTTGTCTGTACAACCTATAGACCACCGGACACTTCTTTATCTTGTTTCGATTCAGATCTTACGGAGAACTTTATTTATGCCTCGTCGTTTAATGTTCCAATTTATCTATTAGGTGATTTGAACTGCAGACTTGAGAATAGCGACGATCCTGGAGCTAAAGCCCTTGTTAACTTTTGCCGTTCCTATAACTTGTCAATATTGATCAACACACCAACACGAGTTACAGAGACTTCGAAATCAATTTTAGATGTTATCCTTGCATCGGATACAAGACAAGTCCAAACGGCTACAGTTATGGAAAGCTCGATCAGCGACCATGAGCTAATTTATGTCACCTTAAGATTGAAGAAGGCGCGCTCCAAACCCATTTATATTACTACCAGAAGTTTTAAACACTACAGTCCTATTGATTTCAGCAACGACGTATCATTGGCACCGTGGTCCATAGTCGATGTTTTCGACGATGTCGAGGATAAAATTTATGCATTTGATTCGCTGTTTACTGAGATACTCGACCGTCATGCTCCAGTTAAAACCTTTTTAAGCACGCTGTAAGCCAAACCCATGCGTAACCGACAACATCCGCGGATTGATGAAGACCAGGGATGATTGGCGTAAAAAAAACAAAGAAAACAAATGACCCGCTATCCTGGACTGCCTACAGATATTTCAGACAGGAAGTAAAGAGGGAAATTAGAATTGCTGAACGAGAATTTGTTGCTGAACAAATCCAAAGGAACCCAAATAACACCAATAATATCTGGAAAGCAATCCGCCAGTGTGTCCCCAATAAATCTACATCTCAGCGAACATTTAGTAAGAGCGTCAAATCTGTTGCAGACGAATTTAACCAGTTCTTCGTATCTGTTGGTCAGAGCACTGTTGACAAAATTACGTCCCTGGCTAATGAATGCAACTTAACACTTAATCAGAATTATTTCGTGCCGAGACAATACGCTTCCTCTGACCAGTTCACACTTAGTACCGTTGATTATAAACAAGTAGAGCGTATAATAGCAGCGATGCCTTCAAACAAGGCCCCCGGGATAGATAAAATTCCGATCCGTGTCATCAAAGACTGTCTTAATCCAATTGTTCACCCAATAACGTCTATCGGTAATGCATCCTTTCAAAACTGTGTTTTTCCATCAAAATGGAAAACAGCCGAGGTTACTCCCATCCTAAAGGAGGGCGACCATGAACAGGCAAACAACAATAGACCCATCTCACTTCTACCAGTTTTATCGAAGGTTTGCGAAAGGGTAGTACATAATCAACTCACCTCGTATCTGCAATCAAATGACACCCTATCAAAGAGTCAAAGCGGTAACAAGAGATGGCACTCTTGTGAAACATCTGTCATTGAAACAACAGACACAATTCTTAACGCCATCGATAAAAAGAAGTTAACGGCAGTTGTACTATTAGATATGAGCAAAGCCTTTGATAGTGTCAATCATGACATGTTAATTTTAAAATTGCAAGATGTCGGAATTTCCAGTGACACTCTCCAATGGTTTCGTAGTTACCTAAGCAACAGGTCACAAGTAGTACGAATCTATTCAACGCTATCTGAGCCTTTGTCTGTGACCAGTGGCGTTCCTCAAGGAAGCATCTTGGGCCCACTCCTTTTTAGCATATATACGAACGATCTTCCATTGATCCCACAGAAATGCAGCACCCAGAGTTATGTAGATGATACGAAACTCATCACTTCCTTCGAGCTTAAAGCCAACCTGGATGCAATTGCTGATTTGGAAGACGACCTGTTTAAAATAGGGGAATGGTGTTCCAACAATCAATTGTTACTAAACCCTGGCAAAACCAAGTTGATGATATTTGGCAGCAGGCAGATGCGTGCAAAATTCCAATTTCGTTACCTTTCCTTTATGGGTAAGGACATTGTCCCTACAGACACCGCCAAAGACCTTGGTGTGACTTTGGATTCTAATTTAACTTACGATGAACATATAATTAAAACCGCTTCCTCGTGCATGTCCCGCCTTGGCCAGATAAACCGTGTCAAGCATGTCTTCGACAAACGTACACTTTTGATGATTATTAATTCCTTAGTTTTTAGCAGGTTATTTTATTGCTCCAATGTTTGGTCAAATACCTCAAAATGTAATGTCAACAAGTTACAGGCAGTGCAGAACTTCGCATGCCGCATTGTTAGCGGCGCGCGTAAATTTGACCATGTTACACCAATTCGCAAGGAGCTAAATTGGCTTTCAGTTCCCAGTCAGCTTTATTACCGGAACGCTACAATGGCTTTTAAATGTATGACCGGTCAAGCCCCTGAATACCTTACATCAAAATTCATAAAGCGAGCAGAGGTTAGCCGACGTAGCACCAGAAATTCACAGCTTTTACAAATTCCCTTTTTTGGAACAGCTGCCGGTCAGAGAACATTTTTCTATAGAACTGTGAACTTATGGAACTCCTTAGACAATTCCTTTAAACTGTGTAACTCGATTGATGTTTTTAAAACTCGTTTACGTACTAAATTACTTAAAGAATTGTAATTTTATATATATTTTAAAACATTTTTTAATTGTAAATAGGATCATGTATTGTCTTTGAAAAGCCCCTTGGGAAAGTCAATAAAGTATGTATGTATGTATGTATGTATGTGAGAAACTCTTTAAGGGTAATTCTCAAGCTATTTTCCTTCACCGATGTAAACCATCATTGTGTACAACAGAGAATAAAGGTTAACGTTTAAATTTAAAATAGCAAGAAATTTACGTACCATTAAACTTTTGAAATTCAGGTAGCAATTTTTTGGCATTCCACTCTGCAACTTCCATTATTTTACGAGCACAATTGGGCAGAACTAAAAAACGAGAAGTCGAAAGATTACTGCAACGCTGATCATAACAACGTGTATTCAGTTGCTTTTTGAGTCATAACAATATTTTGGCCGGCCATACCAGCCTTCTTCTGAGGTTTACAGATGTTAACAATCGGGCAGGCCTATCATACGGAGTAAGATTGTGGCTCATGGAAACTTCGCCTTTGAAACCATGAAGGAAGAATTATGCGATTTTATTTCTAAATCAATTAAAACCTATTCCAAAATTGTGTTTTAATATGCGAGTAGTTTTACTAGAACCTCAGTTAAATATGGAAATGCCGATAAATTTGGAAGTCAGTATGAATAGAGGATATTACATGGCCGCGCGGAGCTACGAAATTTCTCTTCGAGTTTTGAAATGTTTTTTCAACACGAAAAGAAAAATTTCGTATCTGCAAGCGGCCATGTAATGTTCTATTTATTATATAAACACCAATGAACTGCCAAACCATTTCGCTTTACTATTTTTTTGGTGTGAAAGGCGCGAGCTATTATGTAGCCATAGCAACGGTGATATTTTCACGTGTTAAGATAACATGTTATTTTCACATGTGAAGATATCAAGTTTTCGCGCGAAAGCTCACCTGGTATTTCATTGGTGTTTATATAATAACACACAAAAACTTATGATCACAGCATTTTCTTATTACTAAAACAAAACTAAAATTTCTGTCATTCCGGTCACCTTTTAGCAATTGCAGAAGTTTACAAGAACGAAGGCAACGATGAATACAAGAAGAAGCATTTTTATAATGCCATTGACTACTACACAGAAGGAATCAAAGTCAACTGTAAAGATGAAGAACTGAACGCCAAACTATACAACAACAGGGCAGCAGCACATTTTAATTTGGGTGAGAGGTTGACATTTCTATTTTAAAAGCCTGGTTTAAGATTTCAGAACTGGATTTGTGCAAGCAGTGTGGTGACATCCCTGGGAGTTACTCCCTATAATAGCGTCTCGAGAAGTTATGCGAAAGGGTGCCCTTTTTTTGTCAAAAATGGTCTATAAAAGGGTAACGGGTTGGACCTCGGGGCGGAGCTTCCCTGTATGCAACTTTTTTGAGTAACCCCCTCCCCTTCCCTCAGGTAAAAAGATGCTAGACGCGTTCGTGGGCACCCAGCGAATACGTCAGAAGATTCTTCAATGGTTTCCTTTATGTTTTAAGGTGACTCGACCCAGTTTTTTTGGCGGGGATACCATCCTACTTTGAAGCTCTCTGGTATCCCCAGCTTTTCTTTTATCGTACGTCTGACACATTCAATGGATAACATATAGATCACGTGGTTATAATGCCACGCCCCTTTGAGGTCTGAGTCGAAAATCTGCTGTTGCCAGCATTTTTTCGTGAAAATCTCTCGGCTACACATAGTGCGCATTAGTGCCTTGCGCTAAACAGAGTTTCACCAAAATCGCAAAGACCCAATTCGATATTCAAACTTTACACGATTATATCTAATAAACTATGAGATTCATCCCTTTATTTTGGGCATCGTTACAACAGATGGGTCCTTGCAAGTGAGCAGAACGCTTTAGGGCCTTGTAAATGCGCGCGATTTCGAGCAAAGCAAACATAGAAATTATAGTTTTAGCTATTGGGTGACGTTAATCAATTGTGGCCCTGAAAAAATTTGAAGGAAAAAAAACTACGAATTCTTTTTTCGTGAGAAGGACTCTTAAACGCTGACAAACGTCAACAAATAGCTAAAACTATAATTTCTATATGTTTGCTTTGCTCGAAATCGCGCGCATTTACAAGGCCCTAAAGCTTTTTGCTGACTTGCAAGGACGCATCTGTTATAACGATCCCCAAAATAAAGGGATAAGTCTCATAGTTTATTAGATGTAATCGTGTAAAGTTTGCTTATCATTTTCGCATAAATTATGACCTAAATTTGGAAACCGCTGAATTTCTCGAATTGGGTCTTTGCGACTTTGGTGAAACTCTGTTTAGCGCAAGGCACTAATGCGCTCTATGTGTAGCCGAGAGATTTTCACGAAAAAATGCCGGCAACAGCAGATTTTCGACTCAGACCTCAAAGGGGCGTGGCATTATAACCACGTGACATTTACTCCGATCGCCAAACATTTTATGTTATATTGTAGATTGATCTATATGTTATCCATTCTATGTGTTAGACTTAAGATAAAAGTAAAGGTGGGGATACCAGAGAGCTTCAAAGTAGGATAGTACCCCCCCAAAAAAACTGGGTCGCGTCACCTTAAAAGCCATTTTGGTTAATTTGTTACTGCTCGTAAAAACGATTTGCCTGTTTTGATTTCCAGACGTTTTAAGCCTTCCTTAGGCTTTAGAGATTTCTAAGCAATTCCTCCTTCGAACAGGTATTTAGCAGAAAAAAGGTAGTTGGTTGCCTCTTATGGCTGGTTTCTCACCGATTGTTCATTCTGTGACAGGTGATTACACCGAATCACTTAATGATGCAAAAATTGCTACTGGCTTACAGCCATCTCTTTTAAAAGCTTTTGTGCGAGGTAAGTCAGCCATGATCCAGTCACCAAACTCATCTCTCTTTCTCCCCAAGCGATCACGAAAAATGTTCAAGCTTACCAAACGTTTTTACCAATTAAAAAACTGCATTTAATGTAAGGGTAAACCACTCGGAAGGTTAAGAGATGTTTGGGTAGGTATATGCAGTTTGTACTACCAAATTATCGAAAATCCTGGACTCTCAGGCTCCAAAACTTTCTGGTCTGTACATTACATTAGTGCAAGACACCGTAATGAGAACTGCTCTACAAGAAATGTTCCAGCAAAAGTAGATTCTGCTTTTAGGCATATTGTTTCCTCACAATACTACTTTACGCCCCTAATGCTTTCCCAGAAATTTTCTTATGGTCTGTCCCAAATCGATATTTAGTATCATTAACTCATGTGTGTTGTAGGTAATTGACGGAGCTATACTTTTTGTATTTACAGGGGCAAGTGCCTGCGTGCAGTTGAAAACGTTTGACGAAGCCATCACGTGGTGTGATAAAGGATTAGCAGTATCCTTGAGTGGAGCTGAAATCATTTTTCTTTATTCTTTTTTAACAGTATTAAAAACGTATCCTGATTTCAATTTAAGGTCTATATGAACATCAGTCGGCTGCTTTCGAGGGCAGAACTGACCTCTCTCCTTTGTAAACTTCTCCTTCGTTAGATGAGCAATCTTAAGTGATTATTTAGTCTTTTGTGTAATATGCTTTAAATATTTTGCAATACACTGTTTGGGTTATCACCAGTGAAACGTTGCGTGACTCGGGATAAGTTAGATGCTCCTAGCTTGGCTAATTATTCATAAGAATTATTTTACAACTTAACAAAAACAAGATCGATCCGAACAACCAGAAGTTGCTGGATTTGCGGGGCAAATCTGTGAAGGAAGAACGTGAAATGAAAGATAACCAAGAAGAAAAGGTAATGATAAATGATTTTAAAATAATTGGTATCAAGTTAAAAGTTAAAACAGAAACTAATTTCTTTGCCAGGGAAAGTAAAGTAAATTTTGTTAATCAAACAGCAATGACACAAAGGTGAAGAGTTAGAAATACTTACCATTCACGAATTTTATACTTTGACAAATGAGCAAATTTTTGCGATACGAAAAATGAATGTCTCTTGGTATTACCCTGTATACCAGGCATCAAAAGGGGACAAGGAGGGAGAGAAAAAAAGGGAGAGGGGATTGGGAAAAGAAGAAAGAGACGTCCCCCTGACGACCCCCCACCCCCCCACTTTATTTGCGCCTGCCAGGCAGACTACTTGATATCTAAGGACATGGTGAGCCAGGTCATTTAATAGGTTTACATGTGCATACCTTCTGGATAAGCAGATGCAACAGTATACAAGGAATGTTGATCCCAATAAATTGGTGTGAAATGCAAAGTCGGTCAGTCACTAGCGTGAGTAATTACGTCGTGCAGTGGCAGTAATATCCAAATACTGACTAAGAACAAGCTAAAAAATAGGACTACCTTCTGAAAATGGGCTCGGAACACAAAGAAACCTTTGAACAGTACAGATGACAAATGCTAACCCCTTCCTTACCACAATGTCAAAGCTTCTAAAACTAGGATACCATACTGTCTCAGTGGTTTAAATATTTTTGCGAGCCAGGAAAAGACCCATACGTTCAGTAGTTAACTCGGTTTCTGAAACCTACGGGAAGTATCACTACTCAAACCCCTCCCTCTTGCACACGCCTTCCACGAATTCACTTCAATAAAGTTTAAGGTAAATCACTTTCCTTTACCAGCGATATAATGTTTGTTAAAAGATTTTGCTCTGCAGGTTAACAATTAACTTCCCTATTCAATTACGAGCGCTGCAATACTTGGAATATATTTATCAACGAGTCAAGACATGCTTTCGTCAAAGGCAGCGTTCTTGACGCTCTGTCCAAAATGACCATGTTTTTCTAGAAGAAAATATTACGGTTAATATTTTAAACAGCTACGGCTAAATTATTTGTTTTAGCTTTTACATTAACGAAAAAAATGTTTGTCTTTCAAGGACTGCCTGTTGACCTCATTTAGATGTTCTTATCTTCGGCTAGAATCTATGAGAAAGATACGTTATTGACTGGATGTTGGGGAACGAGCCCGCGAAAATGAAAAATGGGAACAAATCATAGATTGGCAAACAAAGTTATTCGTAGGGCAAAGGTTCAAATAAGGTTTGGTTCCCATTTTTTATTTTCCCGTTCCCTTGGTAGTTCCCCGCTCACCGCTCCCCGTTCCCCGCACCCCATTCCTCGTTTTAGTAATATCTGTTATCAAGGGTGAGGTCAAGATAACTAGAGCGGACAAGATAGGCCCATCATGCCTTCTAGGGTAGCCAATTAGAACACAGGATCGCTTCATCTTGCCCGATTTCGGACAAAATAATGAAAATTATGATTCATTCAAAATATTTCGCCGATTCTGATTGGCTAAAAGCACACACATAATTCACCATATCCAGTTTCCAGAGACCAAATTTGGAAGAATTTTGTGTTTAAAGAGGAAAGGACGTCAAAAATGCAGCGTTCGTGCAGGTTAAGGCACCGTTAACCGAGAAGACCTGGGGAGGAGGTTGAGTTGTTTTGGTTGTGTAAACAAAAAATGGCGCACATTTCACTCGTTTCAAGAGTAAGAACTAGGAGACAAAATAGCTAAAAACATGGAAAAAACAGCAAGAAGACAACTCGAAGGGCGACATCTGCTATTTGGAGAATATTTGCGGAGCTGGACAAACCTAAACGTGCACTATCGAAGATGAACTTAACATCGATGGATCGATGGAGGCAAGCATGTTTTAGCCATGTTTTTAAACTAGGAATTATTTTGAATTGCCATGTATCGTGTAAACCATAAAACGAGTTTTTTTTACTCAATATGTATCGGACGTCATCTTGGGCCCTAATTTCCAGATGGAAATTGTAACTTAAACTATAATGCAACCTGTAGTTTTTTTTAATTTTTGCAGAAAACTGCCACTGGTCAGGTCAAGGATTTTAGCACGAATAACATCTTTGAGGACCGATTCGAACAAGGGAACGCGTATTTACATTCGGGCGACGCCCATTACGGTGTAGGAGATTTTAAAAAAGCCATCATCTACTATGAACGTTTCTTGGAAATTGCGAAGGAATTGGGTGAAAGATCCGGAGAAGCAAGTGCGTATTGTAAGCTTGGCAACGCTCATCAGGGTCTCGGAAATTATAAAACAGCCATTAACTACCATGAACGTCATCTGAAAATTGCGGAAGAATTGAGGGACACATTGGGAGAAGGAAAGGCATATTGCAACCTTGGAATTGCTCATCACAGTTTGGGATCTCTTGAAACAGCCATAGACTATTATAAACGTCACCTGAAAGTGGCGAAAAAATGGGGTTATAAAAGAGGAGAAGGAGGAGCGTATGGCAATCTTGGTCTCGCCTTTTTCAGTCTCGGCGATTTTAAAACTGCCATTGACTATCATGAACGTGATCTGAAAATAGCGCAGGAACTGGGAGACAGATCAGGAGAGGGGAGAGCGTATGGCAATCTTGGAAATGATCATAGCCGTCTTGGAGATTTTAAAACAGCTATAGATTGCCACGAGAGACAGCTGAACATTTCAAAAGAAATGGGTGACAGGTTAGGAGAAGGTAGGGCATATGGCAGTCTTGGCAACGAACATTCCAATCTGGGAGATTTTAAAACCGCCATTAAGTACCATGAACTTCATTTGAAAATTGCGATGGAATTCGGTAATATATTGGAAGAGGAAAGTGCACATTGCAATCTTGGTATTGCCCATCAGACTCTGGGAGATTTAAAAACGGCAATAGATTATTATGAACGTTATCTGAAAATTGCAAAAGATCTGGGTGACAGATCAGGAGAAGGTAGGGCGTATGGTAATCTTGGCAATGTTCATAGCCTTCTAGGAGATTCTAAAACAGCCATAGACTATCATGAACGTCATCTGAAAATTGCGAAAGAACTGGGTGACAGATCAGGAGAAGGTGGTGCGTATGGTAATCTTGGCAACCAATATCACAATCTGGGAGATTTTAAAACTGCCATCGAGTATCTTAAACGTCATCTGGAAATAGCGAAAGAATCGGGCAATAGTTTGGAAGAGGGACTAGCTTGTTCAAATCTTGGTGGGTCTTTTGAGTTACTTGGCCAAGTTCCAGTGGCAATTGAATATTACGAGCACAGTATTACTTTGTTAAATAATGTAAGAGAGCGTCTTCAATCAAGCGACGAATGGAAAATAAGTTTTCGTCATCAATACTGGTCAGCATACCGTGCACTTGTGCGCTTGTTATTGGCGGAAGGCAACGTTACAAAAGCTTTGTTTTCTGCCGAGCAAGCACGAGCGCAGGGCTTAAAAGATCTTATTCAATTAAATTACGCCTTTGAAAGGAATGATGCTAGATCAGGCAGAGAAACCACATCATTAGATGACCTGCTAAGTTACCTACCTACAAATACAATCTTTATATCCTTTGGAAAAAGAGAGTTAAACTTCTGGGTCTGCCAGAGAGGGAAGGGTGTTGAATGTAGAAAGAAACAATTTTCCTCGCGGTGTAAAGTCAGAATTTTTTTTCATGCTCTTTCACAAGGACTGCAACAGGAAATTGGTGCAAGAAATCTTTTGAAGTGTGAAGATCGATCACTTGAATTGGCGAGGGATAAAAGCTTGGTAGCTAAGAGATCACCTCGGGACGACAGACAGACCCAACAGTTTGACCTGCAAAAAAGTGCCTTGAGTACGTTGTATGACACCATCATTGAGCCTATTCAAGATCTACTTTTGGACAGCGAACTCATATTCGTCCCTGAGGGTCCACTTTGCTTGGCCCCTTTTGCTGCATTCAAGGACCCAGATTCCAAATACCTTTGCGAATCATTCAAAATTCGCGTGGCTCCATCCCTCACAAGCTTGAAAATGATTGCGGACTGTCCGCTAGATTATCATCACAAAACGGGTGTTCTTCTTGTGGGTGATCCTTTGACAGAGCTATCGCCGCTGCCATGTGCCAGGGAGGAAGTAGAAATGATTGGCAAAATGCTTAACAGCACACCTCTAATTGGAACACAGGCTACAAAGGATGAGGTGTTGAGACGACTCGGTTCTGTTGCTTTGGTGCACATGGCTGCACATGGCAATATGGAAACAGGTGACATTGCCTTAGCGTCGAACGAAGGTGTGAAAAAGGACATTTTGACAATGAGAGATGTACTGCGCGTTCAGATCCGAGCAAGACTAGTTGTACTCAGTTGCTGTCACAGTGCTCGTGGGGAGATCAAAGCCGAAGGTGTGGTCGGTATAGCACGTGCCTTTTTGGGTGCTGGTGCTCGTTCTGTTCTGGTGTCATTGTGGGCGATTGATGATGAAGCCACTTTAGAGTTTATGAAAAATTTCTATCAGAATGTTGTGAAAGGGAGAAGTGCGAGTGAAGCCTTGAATCAAGCAATGAACTGCATGAGAGAATCTGAGAAATTTAGTGCAGCCAAGTTCTGGGCACCATTCTTACTCATTGGTGATGACGTCAAGTTGGAATTTAGTGGAAGCAAATAGATACCACAGTGCATTACGACGAGGTAAAATATCCTATATAAGTGTTAACGACACCGTTATTGCAAGGAACTTATGGCCACACATCCTATTATACTTCTAATAACACTAACAAATGTTACTAAATGAACTGAAACATAAGTAAAGAGAGAGATGAATAAATAAGTACATTTGCAGCGCCAGATAAATGGCACTGTCTAATGTACTCACGGCCGCTTTCGACATCCACGTATAAACCTTGATTGACACAGTTACGTAATGTAACGTCATTATGATGTTATATTGTTGGATTTTTTTAGCTAAGCCCATTTTTCACCATTATTTCCTCTAAAATAAAGCCCAAAAAAATACTTAAAAGGACTGTCCATAGAAAAAAAGTGGCCGTTAGTAGAGGTCGACTAAATCTACTTCAATGGTTAACCAGGAGCCGATTAGGTTCTAAAAATAATTCTTTACGGGAATGGGTTGACTCACGGTACAGCACATATGGAGGCTCCAAGTAATCGTCTCCTGGGCTGACGCATTGATTATCTTTAACAAAAGTAATGAAGAAATGATGACGTCATTTATTTAGTTAATCATCCCGAAGGCTCTCCTTCAAACATCATTTCAACAGAAATGATCATAAAAGAAAGCGAATACTGTATAATTAAGCATGTTTTTAGTAAGACCGGGGAGAAAAAACATTACACTACGGTAACCTCGCCGACCAGGTTACACATTAAACCTTCTGTTGTTTTACCACCGTTATAAAGTTTTTCTTTCTCTGTTTATCATTTGCAGTCTTCAACTGATTTAAAAGAAGGGTAATTGACCTAAATAAACGGCTCTTCGTATTGTTAGTCGAATTCCGATAAGCAAAGGAAAAATGGTCACATTTCGCTGTATATTGCCTCTTTCCAATAATAACTGGTACTGTTGGTTAGTAGGATCACTGTATAATCATATTTTTTTGTTAAGAAATGACCTTTTTAAATTTGACCGCAATTATTTCTTAATACTTTCATTTACGTAGTTCCGATCCTTACAGTAATTTTGTCTTGTAAACTGACTGTTTTATCAGATTCTATCATTCCGGCGATAGCACACTCTCTGTATGCAACGTTACCGCAGATAACGACAACACTAGTGGCCTTAATAGGTTTCTAACAGTCTGGTTTTTTTTTCTTGTAGGTGCAGATGATAAAAGACCTGTTTTACTTTGTCAGTCAACTACGAAAAAACCGAACACTAGTTCAGATAGACACTTTCAAGATCAGGATGTCATTCGGCTTATTCATTGCAATATCATTTACGATCATTTTATTTAAGGTTTAGACAAAGCCTTTTCCACTAATTTTTTTATTACTGCCATTCACAGGAAATTGAAGAGACTCGTTTCTCTTGTTTCCATGTTGATAAGTAAGGGTTATCGGCCCCCATCTCGTGGTTATGTGATTTATTCCCCTCGTGCGTTGCCCAAGGGCGCAGCCCTAGGGCAACGCACGAGGGGGAATAAATCACATAACCACGGGATGGGGGCCGATAAACGGCTTATTTTTACATTGGCGAGGATTCCTCAAGGGATTCAAAAATACATTGACGAAAAATGCCTGTATTGTTCATCTTTCTTTTGTTTTTTAATACTACATGCTGGCACTGGTGGCATTCCGGCACAAGTTTCTCGGCTTTTTAATTATGTTAGTTTTTTAAAGTCGCATTTCGAATAAGTTGTTCGTAGTTATTGCTAGAAATAGCCTAAAGAGCCTAGCAGCGTCGAGCGATTCAGATCTATCAGAAGTAGAGCCGTTTATTACTCAAACTAAAGCAGCTTTAATGGCGGTACTCCAATTGAGCTTTCGGAAAGCGATTTTGAATCTTCCTTTGCGGGTGCAGACAACGAGCAAGCAGTTGACAATTTCAATTTTCGCACCAAGAATCTTTCGAACGACCTGCATGTTATGCACCTATAGATGTAAAGCCGGCGGGGGAGGGGGGGGAAGCAGGGCATGGGGTGGGACTCTGATTGTCTTTGTTGGCCCTGGGGTGGGGCATTTGACTGATCTTGTTCTCCCAGGGGAGGGGATATTTGAATCTTTCTTCGCCCGACGTGGAGATATTTGACTGCCTACTCGGATGAAAAAGACTGAGACCGAACATATGTTTCCCGCTTCCACGCTTCACGCATGCGCCGTACGGTTTGAAAAGATCAGGAAGTCATGGAGGCCAATGAGAACAAGCGAAGGCTGAGTGGATTTCACTGTTTTGTCTTCAAATTTCGTTTGTTTTAGCGTGTTTTCGATCAATTGAACCTCTTAAATACTGTGGTATCAAAGAAAACGGAAGTGGCTCATTCGCTACAATCACTGTAAACTTATAAAACTGAATTTCTTTGTACCCTCTACTAAGAACGGTATATTTAAACTTACAAAATGCGGACTTTCTCTAAAGGTTTATGTATTCTACGCAGTGTAACACGGATTATGGTTAAAACGTACAATTGCAGCTGTAACAGGAACATGTATCTTAGGTGATGCAGCAACGTTTATAAAAGATAGCAGAGTTTTATTTGGCGATATTTTTATTGCCTTTCTTGAGTTCTGCCTTGGGATTGACAGCAATGTGCAGCCGGGGGTGGGGAAATTTGGTTGCGTTTGACTGGAATGATTTGCCCGTGGGCAGGGAATTTGACTGCAAATTTTTGAAAAAAGCCAAATCCCCACCCCATGCCGTGCCTCTCCCCCTCCCCCCCCACCGGCATTACATTGATAGGTGCATTAACGGATAAAGAAGATGCCGTGCGAGGGTTCACTACTGTAACTGACAAGGAAATTCAGTCGAGGAATAAAGCAAGAATACCACAAAACACAGAGAGGTCAACTACATGTCTTCATGGAGTACAAGAGTTTAGGATGACTGGTTAAAAAACGGAACACCTTAACATGACAACGACACTTTCGTGGAACCGTAGAATTTTCAAGACGCTGTTCAATTTCTGACTGCCGTTCTGGCTGTGGAAATCGATGAACCACCAACTAAGAAAATCCGTAAATGTGGCGCAAAAGAAACGCAGCTCAGTTAAATTTTAGTAATTATAGTGTTGTGTTTAATATTTCCAATAAACATTTTTAAATTTGTTTTCTTATGAAAAGCTAATTAAAATGCGAGGGGATTATGTATTAATATGCAAGGGGGATAAGTCACTTATCCCCCTCGCATATTAATACATAATCCCCTCGCATTTTAGTTAGCTGTTCATTAGCCCCGCTCTTCCCTTCAAACAATCAAAGCCGCACCCAGCTTTTCAAACAGTTGATTCGGGTGTTAAGTAATATATTCCCTCCGAAAAGAACAAAGGAATCCGAGCTTATGTAAAAATAAATGCTCATAAATGCTTGTGTCTCATAAGCAGCTGAGGCGTCAAAAAATGTTTTTAATCATAATTTAGCAGCTCTTTGTCATTCAGAGCTGAGTCGAAGTTTTACTGAAGAGATGAAAACCCATTTTATGATCATTAGTTATAATGGAGTGGTTTTTTTAAGATTTAACTCTCTATCTATATACTTAACCATTATTATTCAAATGGATAGGACCCGAAATACCCCTTTCACCTCTGGGTAAATAGCATGTGGAGTATACTCTTGATCCACTTGGAGACCCAGGGACGGTCAGTCGGGTCGGGAAAAACGGCGGTGAAAGTTTTCAAAAATGGGCGAGAGAGTCCGTGGGATGCTACTCTTAACTACCGAGTTCCACGACTCATTCGAATGATTGTCTTGTTAAGTTTGCCTTAAAAGGTAACGTGATTTTAAGGCAAGGTTTAAACTAGCGGAGATTTTTTCCGACTTGTGACAAACACGGCCATTTTACTGCAGGATTTGTTTCGCCGTTTATGACGTCTATACGCAGATGCATGGAACTGAGATAAAAACGTCCCGTTACGGTCGCGTTTTTCAGACATTTTGAATTCGAAATCTAAAGAGAATACTTTGTATCCGAATGAATGTACTACAAATGCCTATAAATCAGAATACCCTAATAGAATAAATCCGGACACATTTATGAATCTGAAAAAATCGTGCTATTGTGTAAACCTAGCCAAAATCTCTCTTATACTTTTTTGCTCTCACGAATTATGTAAATAGGTAGTTCTGTTTGTATTCCGTCTGTACTGATTATATATATATGCCATTGGAATAAAATAAACACTTTTTCTTTTAAACTCCTTTCCGTTTATAATGCAAGGTTTGGAAGGGTCTTTTTCTTGGCCTTTTAGTACTCAACTCATGGGTGTATATTAGAAATTAGCATTTAATTAATCAATGTTTGTTTTTGTTGTTTACAAAGCCTCCTAAAAGGGCTGATCAAACGGTCTGTAAAGCAGCCTCATGTTTTGATAGTTCTGCTGTTATCTTCACCTGAAAGTACGACTAAATACCTTAATTTCCAGTTCGCTGTTGCTACCTCAATTGGTTAATTAGTGCGCTGCATCGATATCGAGAGGTCCTGCAGGGTTTGAGTCCCGGTAAGCCTGAATTTATGTAGGCTTTCTTTTCGCAACTACAGTATTTAAATTTCTCATATTCATTACATGTAATAATCCATAAAGAAAATACAAAGGAAATTAATGTTTAATCAGTGTTTGGAAATGAGATGAAAAACGGCTCATTTTTGCATCCTTGATTTCTCCTTCTAAAATCATTTCGTTTGAGAAGTAATATCAAGCATTTGACAGTGTTTCATCACCAGATGAAACACCTCGAAGTTCGTAAAAAATACTCAGCTGCTCATTTTATTTTCAACTCTCTTCTCTGAGTGTATCATCTGGTGATGAAACACTGCGTCTTATGCTCGATATATTACGTGCTGATCTCTTCTGCAGTTATCTACACAATTTATTATTATAATGTAATGGTTGACAAATTATTCCTTAATTTTGGCGCGAAATTTCAGCGTTAATACTACTACGTGAGAAATTTCTGCAATTTGATTGGCTTAGAGCAGTGGTATTTCAGCTTCATTTG